GCATGGGCTATAAGGCATGGGGTATGAGGCATGGGGCTTGGATGAGGCACCAAGCTGAAGCGATCGTGCAGCGAACGATCCTTAATGTTACCATTGGAAGTCGTTAAGATTGGGCAAACACCAGTACTTCGAAAAAGGGAAGGAAAACGTTCGAGGAGATGAACTGAAAATGGATATTTCACACATTCCCAGTGGCACAGCAAATAATTAACCGGAAAATCGGAAAATGCAAGCGTCATTCGCAGGAAAAGCATAAGAGTGTGCAATATTCAGTCATCAGCACGTGATCTTCGTGATGCTCAAAGCCCAGGACACCTAGAGGAGGTCCAACTGCATTATTTGCTGCTTACTAATCTCATTAGTGAAAATAATATATGTTCATAAATATTTATTTCATATGGAAAAGCTTTAGTTACTAGCCGTGATGCGTTGCGATTAAGAGCGAATAAAAGCCTGGATTGCAGCTAGACTTTCCAATGGACGTAATCATTGCATTTCAAAACATTGTACAACTAGTGATTAGTGTTAAGTTGTTTATCAAGCTAATCTGTTGAATTTACGGCTGAATACTTCTTCGTGCATTCCATAAACTGTTTGATATGAACTAATCTAGAATGCACAAGAGACGTGTTCCAGTCAATATCGCTTGCCATATGTAGTAGGTGCTACAGTGCAAGAGTAGAACAGTGCACTTTGAAACAACTATTCGTACGTACTATGTATGTATATCATTAGGCCTGCAACTGATATAATTTAGCACTCGCACCATGTTTTCCTGGATCTAGTTTTTTGCTCCCCGCCCGAAACGTGATCAACCCACGTGGATCGATGGGGGGCACTACCGAATAGGGCTTGTTCACGGGGGTGACGTACCCCCAAAGCCCCATAAAGATATCGCAGTGGTCAGTGGCGAAGAGATTGCAGCAGGGGCCCCCAACCGATAACCCGTGGGTACTACGTGCTCAGATAGATAGTGCATATATACACATGTGTATGTACATACATGTATATACGGGGTGTATTCACGACTTCGATTGTGGATACAACTATATAGTGCACTTTGTAATTGCTCGAGCACCATTTTGTCGAAAATTGTTTACTGAATAGAATTTTATTGGCCGACAAATAGAGCTTGGCACTTGGATCGCCTTTGTTTGATCTTATCTCCTGATAAGGCTCATATGTACATATAGTTTAGTGCTGTTGCCGTTTAGTCATAGGCTAAATGAGTATGCCTGGCTTCACAGTCGAGGAATTTCCTGTTGTTTTCGTCATTATAATCAGAAGAAGAGACGACCAACATTTGAGGTAGAAGACTGTCCAAAATCCCTAATAAAAACACTAACTTCAATATATGGCTTTTATAAATGGTGTATCACGGACTACGTTGCATTTTTGGATTCTTAGTAGAGAGGAAACTATAGAACTTAGAAACTTTCGATCGTATCCAGAGCAAATTTGAAAAACAGTATCTAAAAGGCAACCAACTTGTAAAATACCAAACTTTTTTTTGTTTTGGTTTTTTTTTTTGAAACCAACATTTTCTAAAATTTATGATCAATGCTAGGACACTCAAAGGACCATATTTTCTTACGGTTTTGATTGGTATGGCTTTCGATACTATTCCACTTTCGGAACATTAAGCATATCCTGGCATACGTGCTTCGTCTTCTTGGGGCTCCATCTTGCGATTCTTCGGTCTTCAAGCGCGCGTTCTCCTCTCCTTTCCTTCGTCTCTCCTTGCTTCATATTTTTCGTCTGTTTGTTTGTGTGGGCTTATTCAAACGCAGACAGCGCGGCGGCAGCGTTGTTGAAAAAAAGCAACCTGAGGTTCTTCTACTCCTACCACTCGTCTTCCGTCTCCTCCACCACCATCGCCACCATCACCATCACCACCGCCTCCACCTCCATCTTCTGCCCCTTCTCTGCGAGATTGGAGATCATAAGTGCCCCAGCACGTCGTTCTCCTGCTTTTCCTTCTTTTTCGTCGGCTGCCGCGCCCTTTCCCTTTCCCAATTTTTTATACCTCTTTTTTTTCTTCAACTTTTTAATCAATTCATGGGTATGGGTGGATGTGTGTATAGGTTTCTTCGATTTTTACGTTACCTTTTTATATTCAATTTTTATCTCTTTGCCTTCGTCTTTTCCGCTTCTTTTTTTGTTTTGTTTTTGATAAATCGATTTAGAAGCCGACGGTCTAAATAAAAAAAAGTGGAATTCTTTTGATTTTTCTGTGCCAGTGTGTGTGTGTGTTGCTTTTGAACTTTTTTGTCGGTTGAATTTTTCGGCCCAAGTGTGTGTGCGTTTTTTCGGCATATTTTTGGGTTGTTTGTGGCCGCTTTACTTGGAAATGCAATTCAAAAATGTATTTCTCTCGCCTTTTTCAAAGGGTTTTTTTTCTTTCGTTGTCCTACAGATTTTTTCAAAATTTCTGTCAATTTAGCCTATTTTATATCTTTTATATTTATATTTTAAAATTAGATCTTTATGTTCTTATTTTTTTTTTGAGCTATTTATTGTTTTGAAGATTTTAGGATTGTTGATTTTGAAAAATTGTCTTTTTTAAATTTGTTACCTTTAGCATTAGCTTTCTCTTTAGTCTTAAGAATTCAGTTCTTGTTCGATTTTCAAGCCGTTTTTTACGTCGTGATCGTATCTAAGCTCTAACTTTTTTTGTCAGTGCATCCAAGTTTATTCCTCGCTGTTCTCCTCGCTGGTTGTATTTCTTTTTTTTGTGTGCAGGCGCTTCGCAGGCTCCATCTTGTCTTGCCGTCCCTTTCCAGCTTCCTTGATCTTTCCAGACAGTCCGTCGTCGGCTTTTAATTCGTGGGCACAGTGGGACGGGTGGCGGGGTCTGCGGCTTGCTTTTGGGAACAGTGGGGCGGGGCAGCAGAGACGTGGGAATCTGGACCCCCGATATCTTTGGATTGTTATTGCTTTTTTTCATTTTGCTGGGTTATGTTATTGTTTTTGGAGAGCTACATAGGTGACTCAAAGACCGCTCGCCCCGTCCCGCTCGCACTTCATCTTACCATATCGCACGCGCAAATTGATGCTCAACAACAATACCCATACATATATTTGATTAGTTTTATGTCATTTTTTCTATTTTAATTTTCATAAATTTGCATACACACGCAAGCAAAGCAGCCCACTGTCGCCGACAAATAAACACACACACACACGCATGCGAATAGCGAAAGAGAGCGAGGTGTTTGCGCCAGTGTGTGCGTGTTTCATTCATGAATTCCAGATTTTGCCGAAGCAGGAGACCAGCAGCAGCAGCAGAAGAAGAAGAAGCAGCTGGCAACGAAGAAGAGGCAGCATTTTCGTTTGTCATTTGCAACAAGTGCGGAGAGGCACTCTTGTGCACATTTAGTTGTTGCACTTATTGCATGCCCTTTTAGTTCTTTCTGATTGCATTGTTTTATTTTTTCAATTTTTTAAGCTTAGACAGAACGGCGGCATCGTCGACAGAAATAAGCTAAAGCTACATACATATGTACATACATATGTGTGTGTGTATATGCAAGTCTATGTGGTGTATATGCACCCACGGCCATAAGAACGAGTAAAATCAACCAAGATAGTTGGAAACCTCTGTTTGCATGGCACTGTGTGTGTGTGAAAATATAAAAAATGCAGCAATACATTCAACAGTTGATTCAAGAGAGAGCGGAATAAGAAGGGAGAACGCGCCGTTTTGTTAGCGAGAGAGCGGCGCTCAACAAGTTCGTTCGACGATCTGTTGCGTCGTTTCTACGGATGTGTGTGTGAGTGTGTGTGCGATGGCATGGGGCATGGGGGATGGGGATGGGGGCACAGGGGTGTGGGTCAAAAAGGGTGGGGGGCTCTGGCCGGCGTGGAAGGGGGTGCGCGGGAGGGTGCCGTGTGGAGTGGCAGTGCCAGAATGTCTGGCAGCCACGACTCTGGCGCACACACACACACACCATTCAAAGGTGTCTTTTGCACGCGTGTGTGTGCATGTGTGTATGTGTGTGAGCGACGGACAGAGCCAGCGAATTTGTAGCGCAACAGCAACAGCAACCGCAGCCGCTAACGAAAGTCGCAGCACAGTGGCGCAAAAAGCTGCTCGCGAAGGGTTAAATCTAAGCCTACTATTGCATTTCAAAATAAGTTATTTGTAAACACAGATTAAATGTGATATGCAACTTGCGCGTTACCTTTGTTAACTGCAGGGTTCTGTCTAAAACAATGGTGCTAGTGGCAAAAAGGGTACAATGTTTTAAAATTACAGTTTAAAACTAACGTTTCAGTTATTGATTCGAAAGGGCCTTTAAATTATGAAAAAAGTAAATATTTGACAATTGCTCGCTCTTAACGATTTTATCTTTTGATTTATTCCATTAAATGTTTTCAGCAATAAGCACGTTATAAATTTGTATTATTTTTAATAAACAAAATGCCAAGCAAATTGTCCCACTGTGCCGTTCCCGGTGTTTGTCAGTTAGTCAGTCAGTCGGGTGACTGTGGCAATCGAAAAGAGTGGAAAAAGAGTTCGGAAGGGGGGGGGGGAGCAGCAGGGGAATGGGTTGTTCCGTCCTCTGTTGTCCATTCGGTCCCACCGTGCACACAGCACAACAAAACACAGCACGGCACAGCAGCAACAAAAGCGCCGCAACAGCTAACTGGTATAATGGCGTCCCGCTCGCACTTGCACTCCAAGTACGCACACATGCAAGCGCAGACACCTCGCGACACGATTGTCGTCAGTTTGTCTGCAGTGCTCAGCTTCAGCGCCATGCGCTCTCTCTCTGCTGCTCGCTCTCTCGCTGCCCCTCTCTATCACACTCACTCGCTCGCTCACTCTCCCACTGCACGCACACGAACACCCACACGAACAGCGACAGCAGCAGCAGAAGCAACAGCAACAACAGCAGCAACAGCAACAACAACAGCAGCAGAGCACAGCAGACAGGCAGGCACTTTACGGCTGTATGCGTGAGCATTTCTGAGTGAACCGCAGTCGACAGCGGCGCCGGCAGCGACGCCGGCAGAGGCGCGGCAGTCTAGAACGTATCTTCGAACTAGAACGCCGAGGGCAGAACAATTGTGTTTTGGATTCCTTGCCGTGCGGATCGCAAACGCGAGTTATGAGAAGAGCGTAGTGAAACGTACGAGAAGTAGCTAACAAGAAAAAAGGAAAAAGAGCAGAAGAAGCAACAGCACGCAGACATATATATTTTTTTTAACTGTGTTTTATTTATCCGATCTATACCAATCGAAATATACACAACAATATAGATTTGAAACGGATTTTGAAAAGTGATTTCAAATAAACTCCAAGAGTATCTGAGCGAGTGTGTGCCAGTGTGTGTATGTGAGACGCGTCGCAGTCGACGTCGCTGCTTTGGGGACAGAGCTGCCAGATCGCGAGTTATGAAAGCGCAAGCGTCGCACGCAAGTAGCAACAACAGCTACAACAAAAGCACCTAAAACTTACTACCTACTACTACTGCAAAACCGAACACCAGCCAACACACTCTTATAATTGTTCTTTTTTTTTTGCTAAAACAAAATTAACAAAAAAATACATACAAAACTGACCAGAATCTTGGGGAAAATATCAAAATAACTCTGTAGAGAACGCCACGAAAATAAGCCATAATCATGGATAGCAGCAGCGAACAGTTGAACGGATCGGGAGCTTTGAATTTCAAGCGGCCCAAGGATTCTTCGGAGAATGCCACAAACAGCCACACAAACAATGGCAATTCTTCGGGCAGCCCCAAAATGGGAAGTCGTCGCATTTTCACGCCCCACTTTAAGCTGCAGGTCCTCGAATCATACAGGAATGATAATGATTGCAAGGGCAATCAAAGGGCCACGGCCAGGAAATACAATATTCACCGCCGGCAAATCCAAAAATGGTTGCAGTGCGAGTCAAATTTGCGATCATCGGTGGCCAACAATCAGCAGCAGCAACAGCAGCAGCAACAGCAACAGCAGCAGCAGCAACAGCAGCAGCAGCAACTACTCCCGCAGCAATCGGTATCGCCAACACCGGCGGTCAAGGTGTTCCATCAGCTGAGCCATCCGCTGGTGCATCAGTTGCATCACCATCATGCCGCCGCGGTGGGGCATCATCATCATCACGCCGCCCACCATCATGCCGCACATCACCATCATGCTGCAGCAGCAGCGGCGGCAGCAGCAGCGGCAGCAGCAGCAGCAGCAGCCCACCATCATGCCGCCCACCATTTGCTGGCTGCCAATGGCATGGTTCCACACCCCCTGGCCGCCCATCCACACATGCATGTCCCGGTGGCAATGCATCCTCAAATGCAGCATCAGAAGGAGCAGCAGTTGCACCAGGAGCAGCAGCAACAGGATCCGCAGCAGCAGCATCAACAGCAGGAGACACCTGCAACCATTGCCACAAATGGCAGCAATCAGGGACCGTCGAGTGTCCTTTCGGCGGCCAAAATAGCCGCTGTTGTGGCCGCCGCCATGGCCACCAGCAATGGCAATCCCACACCGACAGCAGCAATCCCCGCCAGCAGCAGCAGCAGCAACACATTGCCCAGTAGCAACAATAGCAGTTGCCACAACAGCAGCAGCGGCAGCGGCAGCAGCAGCAACTGCAACAGCAACCAAGTGCCAATACAAGTGCCAATCCTGAGCGGATCGCCGGGATCCACATCGTCAGCCAGTCACATTCCACACATGCCCTATGCCTACCATCACCATCACCATGGCTATCTGGAGAATCGACTGGAGGCAGTTGCCACACCAGCGCCCATGGACCTCTCCCTCGGATCCTCTGCCCGCCGTCAAATGCAGTTGAACGAAAAGGATCCGTCTGGTGTGGATCTCACCTTCCGCAAGCGTAAGGTCATCACTAGTCCGATGCAGCCAGATAAGATCAGTAAGCTGGAGGAGGTGATCAAGAAGGAGCCCGAAACGGAAGCGGAGAACGAGGATGTGGAGGTGGACGTGGATGTGGAGACGGAGCAGCCGGAGGAGCACAAGCTGCCCTCCAAACAGGTCAAGCTCTTCAAGCCCTATTTGCTGGACGACGATGAGGAGCAGGATCATCATCATCAGCCTCAGCATCACCATCACCATCATCACCATCCGCAAGAGGATTTGGATGAGGGCGCTGCCGAGGAGGAGCAGGACGATGAGGAAGAGTCTCGCTATGCCGACGACGACGAGGTGGACTCCAAGGAGGCGGCCGACAAGAAACAGCGTCGCCTCAAGAAGAAGCCAGCGGCGATCAACGAACAAAGGGAGCCCATCATCTGGAGCAATCATCCCTATCCCGGTGGCTGTGTATCGCCCGGCAGCTCGATCGGCACAAGCTTTCAGTGCCCCACCAATGTGCAACAGCAGCGGACATTTCCCGTCGCCGGCGGGAGTCCTAATCAGCAATTTCAGGACAACTGCAGCTCCAGCAAAGCCACCACGCCCCTCAGCCCATTCTCGGCGCCCGCCCTCTCGCCCACCGGCTTCTGTTGCCCCAAGGGATCGCCCGTTTCCGGTTACGAGAGCAGCTCATCCACCTACAGCGACAGCGGCAGCAACTACAGCCTCAATCTCCAGCTGCATGCCGTCTACAACGACAATCTGATGTACATGCAGCAGCAGCAACAGCAGCAGCAGCAGCAACAGCAGCAGCAGCATCACCTGCAACATCAGCAACACCTGCAGCGCTGGCTGGATCAGGAGTCCTTGGCCAAGCGACCCCTGATCCTCGTGGCGGATTCTGCGCCCACAAACCTGACCCTGGTGGCCTAAGAACACTCACTCACACACACCCACACCCACACACCCACACACACAACAAACAACACACACACACAATAGAAACTAAGGAAGCAGCAATCCCACCAATCGGATGTTATAATGGCAGTCACTGGGCCTGGCCTTTTAGTTCTCTAAGCCATATTTAAGCTTAAAACGTTTTTTTTTAGCCCTACCACCTAAGTTTACCTTAACAAAAAATTGTACATCTAAGCGCAAACATATATCTTCCAAGCATATCAGCAAAAAAAAACCCCAACCCTAGGAATAGATCGTTTTTTTTTTGGCTACCTACTAAGAACAAATTAAGCTTAAGTTCAGTTTTTTCTTTTTTTTTTTCCTTGTATTAGCTTGTGTAAATAATTGTGTACAAAAAGTAAAACAAGGCGAAACATTTGAATTTGCTTAAGAATTTCATCGCTTCATTTCATTTGTATAACGTGTGGGAGAGTATATTAAGAGAGAAAATGTGAAAAATGCAACTGGAAAAACTGAGAAAATTGTTAAGAGTAAAGCTTTAAAAACGAAACAAATACACACCTTTACAATACACACTTTTTTATTTGGAAATTGAAAATTCTTGTGATATGACAACAAAACAAAATTTTAATAAAAATTGTTGAAAACTGAAGCTTATTGAATATATATAGCTATATACATATATACATATATATTTACAAACACAAAAGAGAGCAAGAAATTTAACGTAATATTAAGGGTTAAATCTACAAGTTAATTATAATGATATACAATATACATATATACAATATATTTATATACAAACAAGAGGAAAACGTTTTTTTTTTCATTGCCAAGGGAAATATGAAATGAGCCTATACATAGAGAGAAATATATATATATAAAATCAGTATTTTTATATATTACATTTGACAAGAACAACAATAATTGTGTGACCATAAACCATAAAAACACCCACAACAACAACAAAATCCAAAAGAAAACAAATTGATTAAACGAACAGAAAACTAAAAAACTTTAAACTGAAACTGCTTTTATCATTGGATTTGTGTTGGGTTTCATTTTCAGCTGACTGCAAATGGAGTAATTCAGGAACCTGATTTCCTGATTTCTGGGGACCAACAGTTGGTAACATTTTGCAGATGGCCATAAAAATCTGGCTCAAATGCCATTTCCCGATTGTAAATCATTGCGCCCAAGCACCGACTGATATATACTTTTGGCAAACAGCCCGCCATCAATTGGGATTATCTAAATGCTGGATAAGTCGCCGTAATTCCTCTTAGCTGATCGTGTGAGGTTAGGGCCCCATTTATAGAACCGATCGCCGTTTGATCTCCGCGATCATACCGAATGTGCCATTCAAATGGTGCGCGTTATTTGCGTGCCTCATTGTGACAACTCATGGGTTGTCAGTCACTCAAGTCGGGGCATAGCTTAAGGCTTTGGGGCTTTCCACCTCGACTGCCCGTGCCACGCCCCTCCACGCCCCTCCCCTCCACACACACACACGCAGAACAGACCACACTCCTCGAACTACTCGGTTTCTGGTCAAATTCGCTTGGCACATTTCAACGGCGGGGTATGACTAAGCCGCAAATTCTATAATGATCGTATTTTTAAAACGTTTAAAAATAAAGTGCTCTCGTTTGCCAATGTGTGCGCCAATCACGAGCACTCACCACCACTGCGATCCACAGCCACATCAGCATTAGCATTAGCATCAGCATCAGCATCAGCATCAGCATCAGCACCGCCAGCTATCGCATCGTATCGTATCGGATCGTATCGTATCGGATCGGATTGGATCGGTTTGGGGGATCGGTTCTCGAGACAGAGCGGCACACTCATTGTTTTTCACTTGACGCGCTTTCCCTTCTGTCGAGCAAATCCGCGCGATCGCTGCCAAAGAATTTTTGCGACATTTGCGGACAAAATGGACGGACAGAGCGATCGCAGACCCCATGGGATACCCTAGACATGCACTGGGCGAAAAATTGTTGCACTACTTTTGCTGAAATCGCTTTGATAATTGCGCTAGTCCCATTAGTTGCACGAGCTGCACTCATTGTGTGCAAAGAAATAAGCAACGACATTTTTCTCTGTGTAGAAAAGGGCGGGCATGGTGCTGGCAGATCGGAACTGTTGGCATCTATGCGATTTGAGCGTTCAGGTGATCGTTCCCACGTAGTCAAGTCAAACCGGGGACGAGGAGCAAAAGAAGCAGGGACGGGGCATCAATTCGGGAGGATTGTACGGATGGATCGACACCAAGTAAGATTAGGAAGTACCAGCGGTACAAGAGCTTACTTCGCGTACAAATGCAGTAATGTAATCCTTGATCGAAGGAAGATATGAAGTTTTGGCATGACGTGAAACTAGGCAGAAGGCCCAGATGGGAAACGCAGGGAAAAGAACGAAGGTACGAAGCTGGCTGAGATCGGGGCCCAGGAACCCCGGGAGGAGCATATGGCACACACGAGTATATCGAGGTGGGGTCCACGGGCACCGGGAAACTGTGGGCTGTGGGTGGAGATGATTGCTAAATTTCAATTTATTTTCGTGCTATTTTCCTCGAAGCGCGTTGCCGTGTAAGCTTTTGCTCGCTTTTCTTGTATCTCCCGAAAGAAAAGTATATATGTACATATGTTGCTATGTTTTTGTTGCTGCCTTTCATGCCACGTGACAAATTTCGATCGCTCGGACGTAACAAAAAATATATATTTTGATTTGCAGCCAGCCAAATTTTACAAAGTAAATAGGGGAAGAAGACACTGGCACATAGCACGGCAGCAGAATTCACCTGAGTCCCGAATCTCGAGTACTTTGCATATGGCGATCGTCTCTGGCAGATATATCTATATATGTTTACATACATACGCTTATATAGTTTGTTATTGATCAAGCGAGTTTTGCGCACCGTGTGATGTTGTAATCAAAGGAACGGATCTCGCGCGATCCCATCGAGAATCGTGACATAATCTCTTATATGAATACTTTCCGTTCTGAACTGTACCAATCGCTTGAATATATCTTTGGGCTTCTGGGTTACTACTCGAGCAGCGATTATACAATGTCATCCACGAGATGCTTGAATGTGGAACTCTGAGTGGAAAGAAGGAAGTATCGCAGAAGCCGAAGAATTCATCCATCAGATTCCTGATAGTGCTAACCCCATAATGACTTTAAGAAATAGCCACTCGATTTGGGCTAATAATTCATACGAATTTATTCCAACTTGCATTGGCTTTTTATCAGATGTGCCATGCGGTTTATTTTTGGACGCGCCCAGACACACGGTACAAATAACAATCAAATAAATCATTCTCGAGTGGTGCAAAGCTAAAGTTAACTAATTATAGATCAGGACATTGTGGTTCTTGTCACACTGTGACTATGTGCTCGATGCTCTTCGAGTAAAGGAGACCACTGAAGATCTCCGATTTCGGGCTTGGCCAAAAACATATTGTGCAAGGTCCGTCCGCTTGCAGGCAAATAACTCGAAAATGAAAAGCAAACAGATATAGCACCCGATTTTCAATTCCAGGCACTATCTTGACAGAAATTGATAACCCCACTCTCTGTTTTTTTGGCTTGACCAATTTGCGGAGGTTCAAAAGTTACCATCGAGGTTCTGTAACTTTTCGACTCCAAATATCAGTCAAGTTCGAAGACACGCTTTTGCTAGAAATGATTTATTTTATGCCTCCCTGGAAGATATACAAATTTTGAATGGCTTGTGTATATATGTATTTTTGATTCGATACAAAATAGCTGTCATTCATCATTAGTGTGATGTTAGTTCAGTGTGTAGACTAATTGCTTAAACATAATAAAACTGTGCTTAGATTTCAGTGGGTTTTTTGCAACATAAATTGGCAGAAAGGGCTCCGAAATAAAAAATAAAAACCGTATGAAGTAATATGCGTTGGTATTATCAGTTAGTGGGAAGTTTCAGGAATCGTTTGGTTTGCGCTGCTCGCTTCTTTTAAATGCTGGCATATATCGTAAGTATAACATACAGATTAGCTTAACTAAACATATATTTTATATTTCATTTATTTATGTATATACATGTAGGCGTTTACATATATATATGTATGTGTATAGGACTGTAAATCGATCGCGGAGGATCGCCCTGGGATTCGCTGGAATCGGAAAATAGCACAGCAGACATGGACTCAACTACGAACACAAACACAAATATACACACACGCGAACTGGGCAAAATGTCGAAAATATAGGGTTAAGTTATATACATGTATGTAGATATAGGGCTAAACATCCTTGTAGTCCACCGATAAATGCAAGAAGTTGTCGGGATAGCTCAGATGCTCGGACATCCACTGCAGCTGCGTCTCCTCGTGAAGATCGATGGCGTGGGTGCGACATCCAACTGGAAATAAGAACATTGGAGTAGTACTACAGCAACACCATATCGGGAACCCAAGAAGTTGGCCCTCAGTATAATTGAGCAGTTATATATGTTATATGTTTTATTTAGCCGGCTAAATTCGGTCTTCATAGAACGGAAGGAGATCCTTTGAAGTTCAAAGCAATTGCATCGCTTCACCCAGTTCCAAATTGACAACTAACTTCAACTTCTTGAAGAAGACAGCGTTTTGATGATCAGTAACATTGATTTACTAAATGCGTACTAAGCCATTATGTAAAGGATCGACAATCAGTATTTCATTAATGAGACAGCGCTCAAGTGAAGCCTACATATCACTACCTATATTATAATGAATGAGATCAGCTAGCGATTACTTCGGACTGATAGGGCGTATCTCAGTCGCTTCTATTTGCCGCATAATACAGCGTATCTGATCATGATCAATTTGCGAGCTATAAAGATTGTGGCAATCGACAAAAAACGTATTCTTCAAGAATTGGACTGGCTTGGAAATCAAAGTTTGGTGCCATATCTACGAGTGTGTGCTTCTATTCTTATTTCCTTGCTTTTTTTGGGCCAAAAAAAATGACACATTTGGTCATTCTTAATTTTAGCATACAAAGTGTAATTATAGATTACCGATTGCCAATTTGCAATGTCGCACGATTGCCAATCGCCAATCGCCCGGTGGGCTAAAACTAGCGTTACGGACAACGCTTTATTAACGCATGTATTAATTCAAGTACATGTATGTACATATATGGTGCTATGGTGTACTCGACAGATGTGGAATGTGTGCGAGTGGTTGGACTGATAATGGCTGATTACAGGCGGTGGGCGGTGGGCGGCGGCGATAAGATTTGTGCAACGGACGCGAGTTCAAGAGGGCCGGCCGCATGGCTCTGTAGCTCCATGGAACCCACGATACTATACTATACTACAGAGCAGTGCCATTCCACTTCGATCCGTTTCGGTTGGGCAAGTCACGAGTTTAATGGCCAAGCTAATGGCGCTACCCAAAAATAATAAATGAACGGAATACAAGTGCCGCGAGTGGAAGTATGGGAAGCGAATTGATTGGCGATACAGGGGCATATATTCAGGTGTTACGTATATAATGCCCCAACGATGCCATGAAGATATCGCAAAGAACTCAACGACATGATCACAAAGCCCAGAAATGCTGGAATGCATGACTAATCAATTGCACGCCTGGGCTGTATTTTAGTTTTAAAGTTAATACAATGGCAAGCTGAAAATAAGTAAATTTGTATACATTTAAGGCCAGGTACTAGTTAAAAGTAATAAAGCAAAGCAATAAATATTAATCGCTCGAAGTGAAAATGGGGGGAAGTAAATCTATTAGATTGTTCCAAAGTTCGCCTGTTGACCGAGTGGTGGTAAAAAGTAAATGAGCGATTACAATTCACAATCATTTTCAAATAAAAATGTTTAATGATTCTAGTCATAACTACGTAATATGCTAGTCGTAGGCGAATAATTTAGTCATTACGGTTTAAGGCATTTGTAAAGAAGTACGAGTAAAATGTAATTAGAGTTGGGAGTTGGGAGTTTTAAAAAAACTCAGAGCTGATGTTGAGCGGGTTTTTGAATTGACACCTTCCAAACTCAAATCAACTTCATCCAGTTTTACGGCAAAATAAAACCGTAAAGCAATTAAAAGTTATATCAGCCAAGATGTCGTCCGATCGGCGATGTATCCAGCGATTTGTGGGGAAACCATAAAACCAAAGACACCTCCAAAGCGCCAACGAGATCATAAATCTTGCATAGGAAACCGACCCGAACGATATACAATACATATGTACATATGTGCGCTATTAAATGGGCGACAGGCCCGCGGACAAGCATTATATATGTGTTTGTATATGATCTCGATGGTATGTGTATGTTTGGGCGGGAGCGAGACAGCGGCGGGCGAGAAAGAGAGGGAGCGAGAGCGAGAGTGGCGCCAAACAGTCTGAAAATTTATTGATCCCATTTTTATTATCGTCAACGTGAAAACATACGAATGGGGAGATAGGGGAAATTGAACGACAAGGCGCATAGCTCATGGCTAAAAATAGCGAAAATAGCAAAGCTTCATCGATCTGATAACGCGCTCCCCAATCACTATAATCACTTAATAGATTGTGTGCCATAAAGCCATTACTGCTGGTGAAGTACAGCAGAAATTAAAAACTCGGGAGAACTCTGGAAAACTCCATCACAACACAAGTGCACTTGGAAAACTCAGCTTTTGCAGTTCAGTGACGCCATCGAAGAGTGCGAAATCGAAAAGTGCTAATCAATTGTTTTTGCTCTTGTTTGTCCGTCATGCCGTCGATGCCTCGTTTTGTGGGCCCCATAACTTCGATGCGATTTAATTTCGGTTTATTTTCATCCAGCTACAAAGTGGGGGAAATGGCGATCAAAGGGGCGGCAGTTGGTGATTGCGGATGTTTAGCAAAAAGAAATCAAATCGGATTTCGTTGACGCTGCAGTTGAATTGTGAGTTGAAGACTGAAGATTGCACCCGATAATGGCCGATCAAGCAGACAAAAAGCAACACACAAGCAGACAAACAAACAAACAAGCCAACCAGAAAGTGGGAAATTAAGTGGATGCAGCCAAGGGGGCGTGGCAGGAAGTGCAAGAAGCGAGGGCTTTTCAAGTGTTTTTTGATTTTTTGGATTTTTTTTGATTTGGCATGGCAACAGTGTTCAGTATTGTAATTTTGGTGATGGAAATGCTCGAGATACTTGTAATTACTTGTAGATACGAGATATTATTGTAACTACGAGATACTTGTAGTTATGCACAAAAGTTAGTTTGAAGATTTGGCAAATTTTGGTGATGGAAATGCTCGAGATACTTGTATACTTGTAATTACTTACGATACGAGATATTATTGTAACTACGAGATACTTGTAGTTATGCACAAAAGTTAGTTTGAAGATTTGGCAAATTTTGGTAATGGAAATGCTCGAGATACTTGTATACTTGTAAGATACGAGATATTATTGTAACTACGAGATACTTGTAATTAGGCCCAAAAGTTAGTTTAACGATTTGGCAAATTTTGGTAATGGAAATGCTCGAGATACTTGTATACTTGTAAGATACGAGATATTATTGTAACTACGAGATACTTGTAGTTATGCCCAAAAGTTAGTTTAAAGATTTGGCAAATTTTGGTAATGGAAATGCTCGAGATACTTGTGTACTTGTAATTACTTACGATACGAGATATTATTGTAACTACGAGATACTTGTAGTTATGCCCAAAAGTTAGTTTGAAGAACAAACTCTCAGTCCTTGCTAAGATTTTGGAATAACAACTACGTTCTGTATACTTCTTCGTATATTTTGAAAGTTTCCTTTGGGTTTGGTAGCATTCAAATGCAGTATGATTGATGATCGCCGGGTGTTAAAAAAGGCGAGTTTAAATAATGATGCTGTGAAGATCAACAGGCAAACACACTCACACACACACTCGCACATGGCTGCAGCCCACCCAAAAAGCGGGGCGTGGCACCACCAATTGTCGCACAAACACAAACACACACACACCTGCTGCACACATGCACACATGGCCACATGGATACATGGGCACACATACATGGGCATTGTCCAGGTTGCATTTTGCAGGTTGGCATTTGTGTTTGTACTGTTTGTCTGATTGACGAAATGCAAACGAAAAATGTGTCGAAATGGGACTAAGCAAATGCGCCGATGAAAGAGCGAGCAAGAGGGAGATCGCAAGAAAACGGGGATGGGAAGCAGCAGAGCGAGAGGGAGAGGGAGGGGGGCGAAGGGGTGGGGGAATGCATAAGTGATAAACATTGAGGTGCGATTTCCGTGCGCCGCCGCCGTTTTCACCGGAGTTTTGTTGGAGTGCAGCGAGCAAGAAATAAGCAGAAAAATATGCAGCAGGCGGGGGAGGCGAGGAGTGGGGGGAGGGGTACGAGATCGAGGGGCAGGGGATCGAGGTGCCGGCGAAGGTGTAAATACAAATAAGCGGAGGTGATATCTCAGAACTTCCTTTTCACACATTCGAGAGCACCCTACACAAATACACGCGCAGCCAGCATGCCTCACACACACGCACACACACGCACGCTGAAGCAGCTCAGCCCGTTCTAGCTTGTTTCTAGCTGCATTTCTAGCTGAATTTTTACACAGAACAAAATACACATATAATGCTTATATATGCAAAATACTTCATATTTTTTGGCCCATGCACTCGAAAAAATGTTTGAAAAATCGAACTTAGAACTGATTATACAAAATGAGTAGTTTTAAAACGGCGCATAAGTATACGCAATAATAAAATGCAGCATTCCGAGATTGTTTGGATTTTCAACGCATTTTAGCCTCGAAAATTATCTATTTTCGTAAGCTTTTAAAGCTTGGCAACACTGAAAGCCACTTGCATTTACTCTGGCTGCCTTCCGGCGAAGGCAGCGCAGTCGGCGTCGCTGCCGGCGGCAAATCATGAAAGCAGCAACAACAAATGAAGCGAATGCCAATGCACAAGGAGCAGCGCGAGTGCGAGCGAGACGGGCAGAAAGAGCGAGGGGGATGGGAATAGAGGGAGCAGGAGCCAGAGGCGAAGCCAAAAGAAATGCGTTTCTTTTATTTTTGACGCGTCTTAGATTCTTCCTCTGCCGCTTCTCGTTCTTCTTCTGCTCTCCTCTTTTTTTCACTTTTTCCCATTTTTTTTTTTTTTTCGTTTTTTGATTTCTTGGAATCGCATCTACTTTGAACCTTCCACGTTCCGACGGAAGACTCAGAGACCCGACTGCATTGTATATTTGAATTTCATTTCAATTTAAATACGATTTTCTATGAAAATGCACGCACCACAAATACGTGCAATCGTTATCCAAGCCATCGGCCCCTCCTCCTCTTTATCGCACTGCTCTTTGCCTCCGCCATCCTCCGGTTTCCTTACCCCATCCACTCATGCACATAATATCATCCAAGTTTCATGAAAAACCCGGGGCAACAAATTGATCATGTTTTGAATGCATTTCTGTTTGATTTCAATTTCGATTTGTGTACTCCAAAAAAAAAAAAATGCGAAAGATTCTTGGACTGGAGTTGGGGGCTAAAATGGATGGATGGATGGAATCGGATGCGACTCGAATCTTTTAATATACGACGATAATCAAAATCAACAGCGATTGTTTTGTATCCCCTAGAAGTCACGCAATATGCTAACCTGATCCCAAAAGATCCTAACAGCTGAAAATCCACCTAGCCAGCCGAGCCAGAACACAAATTGCCAGCGGATTGCCCTGAATGGCCCACTTAAGCCAGGCGTGCGGCTAAAGGAGCCGAGGAATCCAAATCGGAATCCTGTGCCAAGGACGGCATGCAAGGCACCGCCGCCGAGTGCCGAATGACCTTTGGGAAAATACGTGTTGATCGACATCCATTGGCAATTGTTCTGGAATCGCCGGAAATCTCTCACCTTTCGAATGGGAAATTCCTGAGGATCATCGAGTTGGGCAGAGAAGGCCGTCCATAAGCATGCAAATAAAGATTTCACACCTTGGCCAGCGCACTAGGGGTGCACATGGTGCTGCATAGAGGCTCTCAGCCAAAGGACTCGAAACGAAAAGCATGGAGGACACCTGGGAAATACCCAACCTGCCCGAAACACATGGACCTACACATGGACCTACATATGGACGTACATATGGACGCACCCAGGTGGGATCTCCTGTCTCGCACTGAATGGAAAGCAGAGCTCTCTATAGGCACTAGCTATCCATCCAAGTGCATTCCCGAAAAAAAAGAAAACCCTCACAATATAATTCGTAAATCCCAGCCGCAGGTATTTAGTTCCGCCTTTTGTCCAACTTTGGAATTCCCAATGCTATTATTGCACCTAAGCCACTGGAGTGGGAGGTTTTGCAGTGTGTGTGCGCGTTGCAAGTTGCTGCTGCCGGTGGGCAACACATTGAATTGCGCCCGTCTCTTTCTGGCCGCATCTCGCCGTCTCTCTCGCTCTTTGTTGTCGCTGTCCCGCTCTGGTTCGTGCTCATGCTGTCGCCGGGCGCCGCAGGTCAACAGCGATGTGTGGCATTTTCCAAGAGTTGCTGTCGCAGGTTGCAGGCTTTGTGGCAGTTGCAGGTTCTATGACGCTTGCATTTGGTGTATCTGCTGCTGGGATTTTTCCTGGATGTCGCAGGTTGCATAGCTTATGCTGCAGCTAATATTGTTGCATGAATGTGTCAGCAAGTGGCTCAAGTTTACATTGAAGGTGCACGTTTCTCGGCATCAGTTGCACTCTCCATTGGTTGTAGTTGCAGTTGCAAGTAGCAGGTTTGCTAATGTTGCAGGTGCTGCATAATCCATTTACTTTCTCAAAGTCTGTTACTTATTGTATTGCTGCAGTTGTTCTCAAAAGCTGCATATGCTCTTTTTAAATTACCTACGTTTCTGCTATTAACGAACATACTAAATAATATAAAATAATATACATTTGCTGCAGTCGCGACTTAATGCGCCCAAAATGGCTGATTCATTTCAAACTATTGCCTATGTGGTGTTCGTTTAAATCGCTTATGGTTTTTCGGATGTTATCTTTCGTTCAATTGCTTCTCTAGCTGATTTTGCTGCTCTGCCGAAAATCCATACGCACATTTTCATTGTCGACAAATTTTCAGCCGGCAGACAAAGAATTTTTCATTCGTTTGTGTGTTGTGTGTTGTGTGTTACACGCACTCGGTCTGAATGGCCAAAAAGGAAAATGTGACGAGCTAGAGGCGCACATTTTTGGCCAGGTCTTCCTTGGGGCAAGCGAGATGACCAAAAAGACCTGCGATCCGTTCCGATCCGATCCGCTCCGCTCCGGGTCGCTTTTCCACCCCGGGGGCATTGTTTTCAGCCCGAGAGTATCGGAGAATCTGCCTTTGTATCTTCTATTCCTATTTGTATTTGTATTTTTTGTTTTTTTCGGCTTTTTGTTCGGATGGGACATTGATGAATTGAAGAATGATTGCCGGAGAGTGCCGCTCAGGGCGGATTTTTCATTTCGGTTCGGCTCGGCTCGGCTCGTTTGTGTTATTCAATAGAAAAATAAATAAGTCAGACGGGTGGTTCATCTGAAAGAGATACAGATAGACATGCACTTGGCCATGCCAGACTGACTGGCACCTTTTCCCTAATTTCCAAGAGACGCTGCGTCTGCGCAGACAATGGGTTTTTTCCCGTTTTCGTTTTCCTTTACAGACGACTTTCGAGTTTTGTATTCAGTTTTTCTCTTCTTTTTTTAGAGTGCCTGCGGTAATTGATAGCCAGATCCAAAGGCTAAAGACGAAAATCCCAACTCACCAGCTTTGCGCACAGGTGTCGATAATTCGGCCATCAAATCGGCCAAACTCTTCTTTTGTCCGCCCTCGCTGATCGGCGAAATCAGTTTCTGGGTATACGTGAAGTCCTGTCGATGATGGAGATAAAAAAATCCATCAATTTGAGCTGCACTGAACTGAACTGATTTGATCTTATCTAATCCTGGTTTGCCACTCACATCGTCTGTGTAGATTCGCAGGGGAATGTTTTTGAAGGACTCCTGATCGCCATACGGTTCCATCAGCCTCCGATTGACGGCCCAGAACTGGTCGAACTTGTCGTTGACCAGTCCCAGCCACAGTTGATTGTGGTCCTTCTTCTGCATTGCGGATATGACCAGGCCGCGGTGCTTGAGCACATCCGCCTCCTTCAGGCAGGACATGTAGTGCGATTCCAGCAGCTCCCTAGAAGTGGCGGGCCATTAAATGAGTTAAAATGCAGTTGAAAAGAACAGTTTGTGTAGCCTTGCAGACATAACTATACTTCTCATCAAATATTCGAGACTATGCGTTACTGCGGTACGTTATTGTTCAGGCCGAATTGAGTTCATGAATCATTATTTTCTACATTTCATAATGGAAACGTTCACTGATCCTAACTGGCCACATTGGGTCCAACTTGTAAATTGGCATTTTCCTACAATGGCTTACTCTATCATAACATTTGCTCGATTTGCCTGATGGACCATTGTTTACCCTGCTATTACTGCGTAGTGCACGGCATCTGTGCACTGATTGCACTCTGTGCCCAAGTTACGATGTGTTAGCAATAGGATTTGGCAATCACGACTGAGCTATTAATATAAGTATAGTACGTCTGTAGGGCACACAAGCTGCGGCGCACTTTCTGTTATAAATACTTGGAATTGAGCTTGACGAGCGTGTCCTCGGGGAACTTGGAGAAGTGAATGGTGAGGTACCAGGGCGTGCTGTCCTCCTCCGGATGCAGCAGATCGTATAGGACACCTAAGCGGGGTTCAAGACGGTATCATTAGTATAAAATGGGCATGCATGACAGCATCTCGTGTATGTAGATCCCACCAATTGGATAGTGGAGGCGCAGGGGCGTTCCATTGAAGTCGAACCACACCGCTCCATCCTGGTGCTCGGCGCTTATGTAGCGTGAGAAGTACTTGCGAACCTGCCAGGATATGTGCGACATTGGGAGGCGTTATTGGGATCTTACACATGGTAGGGCCATTGCCATTTGAAGCCATTGTTTACCTTGTCGGTGACCAAAGGCAAGTAGCTAAGTCGCGATATCATCAGATAGAAGGGCTCCGGCTTTATGCCCACGATCTCGTCCCGATCCGCCTGGAAGCATATGCCTATCTGGCCCTCCCAGATCATTCGCAGCACCTCGCGGTCGTGGGCCATGGTCCTTATTTGGATTTGTTTTGGCTAAATTATATTTTCTTTTTGCACAATACGACTTGCGGTGCTACCAGATGGGTGAAACAATGCGAGTTGATAATAGTGATGGCACCTGGCATTGCAGGATGGCAGCGCTGAACTATCGCAGGCGGGCGAGGCTCAACGCTAACATTGCCGGACTGTTTGATTTATTTTTATTCGATTAATTTTCATTCAAAACACACTTTAGAGCTACTAAACTATTGCTCACAGAAAATATTTTTACCTGAAATATATAACTTAAAAATGCATAAATTGTTCATGCTATCGGATGTGTGTATAAACAAGTTTTTTGCGTGTCGAGCGAAAAGTTGGCAACTCCAAAAACGCAATTATGAGAGATGAAAAATGCACGCTAAACCGGGAAACATAGCAAGATTATATAAAATAGGATATTCATTTATTTTATTAGAGCTGCGAAATAATGAAACCGGTTTGTTTTCGAACAGCTACAATTTATCGATCGCCGTTTATTATCGATGACGATTGCAGCAGTTGCATGCAACCGTGCAGCGCATAAATAAATAAAGTCGACTTGCCTCTGCTCGCTTTTTAGGTGTATTTTTTTTTTGTGCTGCGGCTGCGCTTTTCGAAACTCGAATCTCCGTGTTCGCTGTGCGATATGATGTGATGTTTACTATGAAGTGATCAACTAAATGCGAACGCTAAGCTATCGTGAAGCCAAAATAATCGGATGAGTTGAGGGAAAACTCCAGAAATCGCATAGCCCAACTTCAGCAGCAACAACAACAACGGCAGCAGCAGCAACAACAACAATTCGGAATCGGAGGCGCATTGTGTGAGCTAGATCGACGAAGGAGAGGGAAAGAGAGCAGGAGACGAAGGAGAGTGGGAAGAAGGAGTGGAGAGGCGGAGGAGTGGCGCACAGAATGGATGTTGAAATACCTGTTTTGGCTGGATATCTTAATGTGCCGACCCAAACTGGATTTTCGCTAAATCGCATCTCGAAAAAGGTATGGAAAATCGCCGTATTCCGTATATTCCGCCCTTCTATACAGACATGTCCCCGCATTTATCACCTTTTACCAAGTTACTTTCTAATTATCCTACAAGTGCGTCGCATGCGACAAACCAAACAGGACCTATGTGCAATGTGTGTGTGTGCGTGTGTTTCTGCCTGCATACTTGTTGCATACAAATGAGGCCCACTGTGCGAGCGCGAGTGAGATGGCGAATGCGCGTTAGAGGGTGTGAGCGAGAGGGGGCCTGACTTCATACAGCTAGGGCCATAATATCAGCATTAAACAATGCTTCACACATAGTTTTGATATTTTGCGATACATAACATTTCGCCACCGAACAATCCTGCATTGTGTTTTCTTCAAACTTGAAATTTAATTGATTGTTGTGAAACCAGTTTTATAACCACTATGCATATGCGGCAGTTGAAATGTGATGTTCTATGAGTTAAATTGAAATTCGAATAACATATGCTTTGCACTGAACTTGCTTGAGGTACTAATAACTTTGCCTCCAATGTTGCAGTTTCAGATGGCACACACAGCTGGCGATTCATGCTATTTCATGGTATTTGTGTTTATGTGCGACAGGAAATTCTTGAGCCAACAGAAAACTGGGGGAAAAGGGTGGTGGAGGGGGTCGCAAAGAAGCAGGGGGCGGGGTGGGGGTGAATGAGTACTTCAGAACCTCAGCTCTGCGCATACCCTACTCATATATGCAGCACTATCCCATCAATCCCACATGTAGGATACCTAAAAATTGGGTGTCATACATATGTAAGACTAAATACTTATTGTACAGGACGTTACGGAAATGGAAATGTAATCATTTTAATCCCAATTTCCCTTTGCAGAAAGCATGCAGTCGCTACTGCTTGCTATTCAAGGCCAGTCGCCACGGCATCGCCCGCCTGGAGATGTGCGAGAGCAAGGAGGACCGCAACCCCAAGATCTTCACCCTCGAGAACTGTGTGAAGATCACCCAGGAGCCGCCGCCCGAACGCCTCATTCACATCGTCAAGCGGCAGGCTACCCTCACACTGAGCACAAGTAGCGAGGAGGAGCTCAAGGACTGGATCACCGCCCTGCAGACGGTGGCCTTCTGTGACACCTCACCATCGGGCGGAATCGGTGCCATCGAGGAGGACAACGACCTCTACTGCAGCTCCTTTGTGAGTGATCATCTCTGTATAAAGCGAACACTTTCTGGGGTGTGTCGTACGAACTGTTTAATCCTATAGTTGTTCAGACCTTGTTGCACTGCATTTGCACATATGTATTCAAAGAATTCACAAGAATTTGGACTCTGCAGGGCACATCCATTCCCTAATACAGTTAATAAGAAGAGGTTGCCCTCTGCACCTAGATTAACTCACTGCCTTGCCATTGCAATTGAGAGATCAGAAGCGGCGATGCGAGGGGCAGCATTTGATATTGGGATCGTCGATGGTTCGAAAACCCAGCCAGTGATTACTTTCGGCAGTCTGTAGGAGTGCAAGGTAACGCACAAAGTCGTCATAGCGAAGGAACTGGACACGGCGACAATTGGGCGCATGATGATGGGGTGCCCGGCGGTCGTAGATCCAGATGCGATCAGTATTTCCGCCCCGTCCCTGAGACCTTTTCCTCGAACCCTTCCTATTGTGGGAATCGATTCGTATTGACAATCAACTTAGTACCTCCTGACTTACATGACTTTTAGGGCGCTATAAACCTTCTTGCGGATATATTGAGCACGGGACAACATTTTTAGAACTGGCGGACCGCTTTCCAGTTTCTTACGCATACATAGTAAAAATGCAAAAGGCAACCAGTCGAAGCGAATTTCATCCATCATAATGTAGGAAAATTTGATGCGCTGCGGCCACTTGTGATTCAGCCAAAGAACTGCGGCTAGAAAAACCTAAATGTATAGGCTGCAGTTATTAAATGAAACTCGCCGATGCCACTCAAAAACTCACCTCCATTTCCGAGTTCACAGCCAGCGAAGATAGTCCCAGTAATCTCTGTACCGTGTCAGCTCCCAGATCCAAATACTCCTTGCTGGCGGCGAACTGCAGAAAGATACAGCTCAATCGCTCTAGCAGGCATTCCTCCAGGCGCATACCCATCAAATTGCCGTGAAGATAAATGCACAATGTCCGGTCCGGGAAACGAGTACCCTCATTGATTCCCACCCAGCAGTTATCAACGAGTTCCTGGCAATCGAAGAACACCGCAGCCCGTAAAACCTGCATCAGAAGAGGGGCGGGCACTCTTTCCGCCGGCTCCAGGCCCCAACGATACATGGCCACAAATGCCGGGGCGGTGACCATCGGACTGGGCAGCTGAAAGAGATGCGACAGTGCCAATTCCGGTTGCTGGAAAAAGTTCGAGAGCACTTGTAGCACCATCGCGTGGCAACGGAAATGATTCTCCTCGACCACGACAATCAAACCAGGCCTTAGGTTTTTCTGGAACACTGCCAGCAATACCTCGCCGACCACTTTACGTGGCGGACCTGTGAATTTAAACCAACGCTTATCCAACGTATGAGCAATGGTTTCATCTGGATCCACTTTCTTGGCCAGTTCTTCCAGTGGTATTTTCGGATAACATATTTCCCTTTTGTTCGCGTTTAATTCATCTAGAATATTTTCAAAGTTTCCCACTCGCAGATCGAAAGGGTTTTCCAGTGGAAAAGGTTTTCCCGTAGGCAATTGCATCCGATGCTGGTCATAAAGTTCATTGCCTTCCGTGTCCTCTGGCACTTGGAAGGGTTTGCTATTGCTTATAATTCTTTCCTCCCAGTTACTTTTCGCCATATCCTCATGAGAAGACTTCTCACTTGGAGGCTTCTTAGTGGCAGGCTCCTCAGTGGGATACTCCTTACTGTGATTCTCGTCGCTGGGACTCTCCTCGTTGGGATTCTCTTCATTTCTAGTGTCCTTATCTTTATCCATTATCTGCTTTTCAAATATATCGGACATTTTTGCCGTTTGATTTTGTGTGTCTTCTTAATTGTAGTTATTTACAAAAACACTAGTCAATGTATATAAATAGAGGCTCTAAGAAACATAATTACCAGTGGAAGGCAAACACAACGCCAACTATCGAGCAGAAGAATGTTAGCTAGTTCAGAAATGTATTATTTTCGGGGATAATTCGTATAGAAATATATAATATAAATACAAAAATCAGCAAATAATTGTATGAACCCTTTTATAAATTCGCAGGACGGCTTGTTCATTATCACGTTGATACCATCCGAGGCCTCCATTCGCTGCTGCATTGAACCCAAGACGTATATGCTCCAGATGACGCCCACTGAACTTCAGCTGAAATCGGAGGATTTGGGCGCCACAATCGCCATGTGGCCGTACCGGTTCATCAGGAAGTACGGCTATCGCGATGGCAAGTTCACCTTTGAGGCGGGCAGAAAGTGCACCACCGGCGAGGGCGTTTTCACACTGGATCACACCAATCCGCAGGAGGTATTCCGCTGCATGTCCGCCAAGATGAAGTCGATGAAGAAACTGATTAGCGGAGATAGTCTGAGCACCTTGGAGTGCGGTGAGAATCAGTTTAGTGCGGCAGCTGGCATGGAACCCGGCTCGCGTAGCCCCCTGCCACCATCTCCGTCGAGCAATCCCCACGGTGGGGAGTTCGAGATCAACTCGACGCAAAGCTGCATATCCCTGAGGGGCTTCATCAGCTCCAACGATTCTCTGAACAACTTCTCCGCGGGTGGAGGTGGAGCAAGCGGCGCCACATCAACGGGTGGTGGAGGCGTTTTAGGAAGCACCGGAGGAATCACGCTGTCCGTGCCCGCAAACAGCAATAGCAACAGCAGCAGCAGCAGCAGCAGTAAACACATTCCCAACAAACCGCCACGCAAAAGCCCGACAACCCATTGTGATAAATACAGGAACATTGTTAAATATGAGCCTGTGGCCATAACGACGATATCCTCGCCATCTGCCACCTCCGATGCGAACAGTTCAGTGATACTGAAACCCCTCGAAGGTGGTGAATCGATATCCCTGCCGGACACATCAACCGATTTACCGCCCGACTTGCCGCTGCGCAACGAGAGCGCCTCGAAGGCACCGCCGCCGGAGCGGGACTACGAGTGCATCGAGAACATCACAGAGGCGTGGCGCACAAGGGGCGTGGGCGATGTCAGGCACAGCGAACGTATGCCCATACTCTGCGATACCTCAGAATTTGTGCGCCAGCGATCGGTATCGAAATCGTCGTGTGGCGGCCAGAATACACCCAAGATCATAGACATCGACATTGGTGAGGGTTGCACTAGCACAACCACTGCCATAAGTGAATCCAACTACGACCGCTTGGACTTCCTATCGCCGAACAACAAGACATCGAGTGGCTACAAGACCATTGTGAATGTCACACCCGGCAATCGCATCCGATGCAGTCCACCGCCACCCAATGAATACGAATTGATCGCTAGTCCCGACACGGAGAGCTTCCGCAAGGCCGATGATAGTCATCGCGGCTATGGGGTGCTGCGAAAGGCCATCGCCACAACGAACAACAATAATCTAGGAATCTCCAACAGCAATATCAGCGGCGGCATTAGCACCATCACCACTGCCACGGCCAACAAAAGCAGCCTCGAGCCGACAGCCATCGATCACCGCAGCTATAATGGCCTCAACTACACAATGGTCAGCAAACCGAAGCGAGTGTAAAGGATTCAGATCGGGTCCAGAGATCCAGAGAACCTGGAGTCGAACTGGGTGCAGTGGGGCTTGGGATGGATCGGGAGGAGATAGTCCTAGTTTTTATTTGTCCCAGAACTGTTGCTGTTTTCAATGTAATGCAACAAACAACTTGTTGAGCTAAAAATTTGGTTTTCCCCAGTTGTCAAATTTATGACTCTTTTTGTTATTTCGCGCCAGATGAAATAGCATTCATTTTAAGTGTTGAGATAACATTTGCTTGTAAGAAAGAATGTACGAGCATATGTATGTTTAAAAACAACAAATTTCAAAATATTGAAAACAGTAACGTGCCAGTAACTTTCTACATATTTTTCATTAATCGCATTTTGAGTATAAGTGAAAAAGAAGAGACTGCCGAGTGCCTTACAGTTCTACAAATTGAAAGAAATAAATCGGCTGGAAATCGAGGGAAGGAGTGCATGCATCGAATCTCCAAGTCTTAGAATCTCTTCTTCCCTCTGCCAGGCCAAAATGAAATACCTTTTCGAATCGATCAATTTTTTTGTATTGTTTTTTCGTTAATTATGTTAAATTCGTAATCTGTGATTGTATTGTTAATTGTAAAACTCTTGCATTTTTAGCAAGCACTGCCCGCCACTTGATTGCACTCGAAAAAATTCCCCGGCCCTTACTTAAAGTGTAGAGTTTAATCAAAACGAGCGAAACAAAGAAAAGAAAAGAAAAACTCAATCGATCCTGGACGTAACGAAAATTTACAAAATGTGTATGCGATTTGTGCTAAATATATGTGTTTTTGTATATTTAAAGAAACTAGATTTTAAATACACTGCAATTGTACTTGTTTCCGTTTATCCGTCCGTCTTCTCAAGGTTTTGCTGCCATATAAATTGTTATCCTATACGTTTTTGTATGATAGTTCATATAGCTGCCATAGGAACAAACGGTGTGTGTTGCCATTATCTCAAAAATCTCCCAAAATAGTTGACTCTTCTTTCTCTTGTTCCATCTTAGAATGTATATAGGTTTCCTAAGTGTTGTCTTCAGTTGCACCTCCTCTCTTAACCCAATTAAAAAAACCCCATCTATGCCCCATGCACGTTCGAGTTCTCAAGCCAGGATTGTTGGAAACGACAGTTTTGAGTATTATGCAAAGGTCACAACAAAAAAATAAATAACAATAAACTAAATCGAACAAACGAAGGCGAACACAAGCAGACAAGCAAAAAAATACCAAAAGAAAACTTGTGACGTTCATTTTACTTGAAAAACATCATTTTTTTTACTTACTTTACGTTACGATTACGACTATTGTAATTAATAATTTTTGTGTCTGCCAACTATTATTGTGTAAATAAAGACCAACGAAAAATCAAACCAATCGAATCAAGCGACTTTCCTTTCTGTGCTCCCAAGCATGTCATGCGGAAAATCTCAGAATCGTTTTGGCTTTTCAAGCGATAGCAGTTGAAAATCGGAGCTACTTTTTGCTCTCCGTACTAATTACTCAAACTAAGCGCTTTCGCGGCCACACCAATTAAAAACTAAAAGACCAAAAACTAAGATGCTGCTGCTTCGACGTTGCCACAAGTTAAAGTTGCGTCCATTGGTTCGCCTTTGCTCCGCTGAATTGATACACAAGGTAATAAGTGTTCATATAACTAAGGGCTACAACTTACTAAGGATTTCCAATTTGTTTTCAGGATGGCTTCATTGAGAAGCTGCGCCACAGTTTCGACGAGGATGAGCGCAGCAATCTGGTGGTGCCCACGTTCAAGAAGGCCATGCTCTATCCGGATGAGATCGCCGTGAAGGACATCACCGGGGAGTACACCTACTTCCAATTGTATCTGGCCGCCAAGCGCCTGGCCATTCAGATCTCAAACATATGCGGTAAGTGGGCTGGGTTCGTTGACATAGCCTTATTAATGGCACTATTTTTTGTTTGCAGGCAGTGCCGCGCTATCGAATGTGACGTACTTGTGCTCGAACAACGCGCTGTGGATAGCCATACAATGGAGCTGCTGGATATCCGGGCAGGTGGCGGTTCCGCTGGAGTCCGGCCAGGCGATGGATCAGCTGCAGGGCCAGGCATCGAGCTGCAAGACCAAGCTGCTGATAGCCACACCGGAATTCGAGTCGCTGGCCCAGGAATTGTCGCAGGCCCTGAAATCGGCCACCATCATTTTGGATCACGCGTTTGTGCCAACGGCGGAGAGTGTGTCCTCCACATCGATGTATGCCAAGCAGCTGGTGGGCGTCCAGGGTGTGGTCCTAACCGAGAGCACGCTGCCCAATGATTTCTATGCCAAGGCGCCGGCCATGCTCATCTACTCGCCCAACGCGGTCAACAATCCCAAGCCAGTGCTGTTGAGCCACCGGAATATCGATGCTCAGGTGCGCTGTTTGGTCGCCAGTTGGCGGTTGGGACCCACCGACTGCATGCTACCCATTCTGTCCATGAATCGAATGCACGCCGCCCTGGGTGCCGTGCTCAATGTGGGCGGCAATGTGGTGTTGCAGCAGAAGTTCGATGGCCACAATGCGTGGAGTGCGCTGTTGGGCATAAATAGCCCATCCAAGCAGCGGGTTACCCTCTTCTTGGCCATGCCAATCGTGTACAAGCGGCTGATTGCCGAGTACGAGAAAATGTTCGCCAAGGACTCGCGGATGGTGGAGTACATTGTGAATCATTGCCGGCAGAAGATACGATTGATGGCCACCGCATTTGCCTTGCTGCCGGACTCGGTGTTCTACAGATGGCGCGAGATAACGGGTCAGAATATCTACGAGTACTACGGTATGATGGAAACGGGCTTGGTTTTGGGTCATCCGTTGGATGAGCCACAACGCGATGCTGCCACCAATGGAGCGGTTTCAGCGCCAAGCCAAGCCGCGCTCAATGACTATCGTCCGGGTACTTTGGGTTCCCCATTGAAGGGAGTGACGGCCCGACTGATCAGCAACAAGGGCAACGAGCTTATAACCTGCAAGAACGAACTGGGCGGCACCGTGGATCATGGCCTAATACAGGTGGAGGATATCGGCGGCGACACGTCCCTGACGCAAACCGTGATTGGTGAACTGCAAATTGCCGGCGCCCATTTGGTATCCAATGCAGTGGACACGGCAACCACACACAATGAGGAGCAGCAGAACACCCAAGATGGTTTCTTTAAAACCGGCGACATTTGCGCCTACCGACATGGTAACTTTTACTTTCTGAGCAAGAGCAGCGATGTCTTCACCGTTGGCGGCTATAAGGTCTACGGTTCGGAGATCAAGAAGGTGTTGATCTCGCATCCGAACATCAACGACGTCGCTGTCCTGGGTATTCCCAACAAGTTGTGGGGTCATCGGCTTGGTGTCATATGCATTGTATCGCCGGATGCGGATATTGACTTGGACGCGATCAAGACGTACTGCTACCGCCACTTGCCGGCCCACAAGTGCCCCACCGTTTTCAAGACCCTCGTTTCCAAGTAGTCCCAAGTTCTGCGCCCTTGCCCACAAATTTAAGTGATTTCTGACTTCCAAGCCCCCTTCCTCACTTGCCAAAAGCCCCTTCGTTTGTCATCAATAGAACAGCAAATAACAATAGTAAATATAATTTGAATTGAACCAAATCAGTGGTTCCACCGCATTTAAGCACATAGCGATGAATACTCCAGGTCTCTGCCCTTTGGGCAACCACTGCCCGCCTTGGCGCACTCGGCATAAACACTTTGGCCAATCACATTTGTATGCGCATAGTTGCAGGCCAGATTGTATCGCCTGAATTCGCCCAGCTCAAAGGAAACCAAGCCACAGCCCACGGCAAAGCTTTTCTCGTTGATCAGAACGGTCAAGTGGCCAATCACTCTAAAAATAAGGTTTTTCAACTCGGGAAAATGAGCACTTTGAAGTAGGCACGTACTCGGCTGGATTAGGCGGCGTTTTCCTCAAGTCCGCGGCGGTAAGGAACGCTTCCTCGCCTGCCCACTTCTGAACTGCCAGCTCCAAGAGCCTCCTTGCAGTAATGTTCTTGGCTTGTTGAAATGCCGCGGCAAATAGATTCTGGCCAGAGAGCCGGAACTTGTCGGTGTTGTGGCACTCATCATGAGCCATGAGGCAGGTTTTGGCATTTAAGAGCGCCATCCTTTCCAGGTCCCGATTCCACTCCATTTTGGCCATCTTGCAGGCGATCCTCCTAGTCCTCGCCGCGCCGCTTGCCCACTTTTGTCTCACCGAGTTGTGGGCCTTAAGCAGCACGTTTTTGTCCTCGCGACTTAGTTTAATAGCGGTGGCATCTTTGGGACAGGAGCTACCAAAGGATCCGTTGACATTCTGCTGCTCAGATTAATACAGAAATTACAAATATATATATTATTGTTACATTCTGTCGACCGACCGACCACTTACACACGCTATGTGGCTGGTTCCTTTGGCACAGAGATCCTGCCTGCAAAAGTTCTCTGCTGGACTATGGAGAACTAGGGATAGTACGAACACGAGCATATTAGCCGTATGGGCCGACATTTTAGCATCTTTGTTTGGCCCTTGGCAAATGCAATTTGCTTTTATACGTATGCATGTTTCAGTTAGTGTTATCTCCTTATCTCCTTTCTTGCACGACAATACCCAAATCGTGAATATACGAGCTGTACAGTCATAACCCATTTACATATTACTTAACAACACTGTCACGAGTTTTGGTTCTCTTTTTGAAGAATTGTGCCTATGCGAAAACCATTGCCACGCCCACTTACAAGAGCAAGCAGAGATATGGTAGATTAGTGCGTAATCTTTGTTTACAATTTTGTTTACGCCAATTTTTGTGTTAACGTGACGGGAGCAACGTAGTCGCAACACAATTACCCTTTTTCACTGCTTCTTCTTTTTGGGAGCCAGATAAGGCCAAAAGCCAATTCTAATTGGCAGCTAAAAATAGCAGGCGATGGCAAGAAACAAAAACCTATTTACAATTATTTCAAATGGGAGTTCGCACTGCACAGAGAACAAATACTGCATTAAGTACAAGCATAAGAGTAAAAGTGGTGGTACAATTCAAATCAAAAAAGTATTCGACAAGTTTCAAAAACACAGCAAAATCAAATTGCTTATAGCATTGGCACTGAAGGCGCAAAATTCGAAAGCGCAATAAGTGAAAGTACAGAACTGACCAATGTGGTCTTGTTTTTTTCAGTGTGGTGGATCTCCACTTGCCTCTTAAGGAGCTTTCAATCGCCCGACTTCAGGGTTAAATGTTACATATACAATGCCGGTGTGGATTACCAAAAAAAAAAAAAAAAAAAAAAACAAAAAACAAAAAACAAAACAACTCACATGCCTCTTATGTTTGTTTAGATTTTTAGCGTGTTTTGTTTTGGTTTTGTTTTTCTGGGCCACGTTGTTGATTTTTGTTTTCCTTTCTTAGAATGCTGTTGTGTTTGAAGGCCAATTACACAAGCCCTAAAAGTGTGTTTATTTGCCATCACTAAAAGATTAATTAAGATCACTTATATATCACATAAATCTATCAATTTTACTTTTTGAAGACCTATATTAAACTTAAACAATGGATTTGGAAACGAAACTCACGATTGTCTTTTTGCTTAGTTAATTAAAGATAAGCTTTGAATAAAATTTGTCTCTTTTAATATTTTTAAAGTTATATTGCAATAAAAATGCTATTGTTTGGTTATGCAAATTGGTTTACTAAACGTATTACTACTTACATATGTATGTATGAACATGTCTCAAACTCGTTACCTTGAGTGACTCTCAAACTGTAATCTTGTTTACCCGCCAAATTTTCAGGCCCTTTATTTACCGAACATTTTCGAAAAGCAGTTCCGAATTTTCAAATCTGTTTTGTGTTTGCCTATTTCATTTTCATTTCGTATTTGTTTTCTGGCCTAATCTTTACCGTAAAGTTGGACTGGCTTTTATCTCTAGCTTTTTTTTTTTTGGGTTTTGTAACCCGCGATGGTCAGAAAGTCATGTGTTGTTATTTTTTGTTTTGCTGTGCGTTGCTGTTGTTTTTGGACTTTTATCAGCCATTAAAGCAGGTCGCTGATAAGGCGGCCGTCAGATGTAATTTAATAAATTACACGAAAAGAAATAACTTTCAAGCAACTAAACGCTTGCTAATCGCGCATTTTCAAATTACAAATACATGGCGTGCAATTTTGAAAAAACATTTCTATTTTTTAAATTTCAACCAGCTATTTAAGTATAATTTCATTACCTTACACTTCAAAGAGTGTTTCATAGATTTCCCCCGTGAAATTTGGAATGTTATGAATTGGAAAAATGGAAGACCTACGACAACAACGTGGAAAAGGATGCGTTGCAAGTGGCACGTAGTCGCTGCTTTTTTCTTGTCTTTTTTATTTTTTGTTTTCTGGTGGTGCAGGCAACTGGAAAACTCACACACACGCACACACCAATGCACGACGCAATTAAATTTTATGTCATTTTATTTAGAGACGCAGCACGACTTCTCTGCCAGCGTCGACGTCGCTCCTCTGTCGCCGGTGTGTCGACGTGCCAAAATCCGCATACTGAAAGAAAAACTTGTGAGCCCGAAACGTAAACAACCCTTTCGCTTAACCCTACAAACACTCTGTGTGGACAGATAAAACGTAGAACAAATCAAACGCACATAAACAAAAAAAATTACATTTTGTGCAATATGTGTTCCAAATGCTTCTAGAGTTAATATTTCAAATATTCTAGAGTTTTGAATTCGAGTTTAAAATAATCATTTGTTTTAAATGTATACATATGTTGAATAGTTGTCATTTTAGAGGGTTAAAGCAGCATCCAACGCGAACAGAATAATTTCTGCTCACATGTTGCTGTGCTTCAATTCACTATTTTTTTTTATTTAAACTCTTTTTTTTTAAGCCGGCGTTGGGGCGCAACACGTACGCCAAAAAAACAGAAAGGCAGGAAAAACAACAACAACGCACTCTCGTTCATCACACACATACGTACATACATACGCATGTACATACATGCGCACATCAATATAAATGGCGTTGCGGAAATCTGAAATGGCATCCAAACTGTGGGGCTGCGGACCTTGAAAAGCGCGACAAGAAATACTAGAAACGCACAAGCAGAAGCAGAAGCACAAAGCACAACAGCCCAAGTTCGTGGAGCATGGAGCACAAGGCTTCCACTTCCACTTCGAGACGAAACGATCTCGTCCAATATTCTCGGGCACCTCGAACCGCACACGTGCGTGCCTGCTCGACTGCGATCCACCCATTCCGATGGGATCCGCGGCACACGCCCAAGAAACAGAAGAAACAGAAGCAAAATCTTACAACTACAATACAGTGCGCACTAGCTAAGGGGGCTAAATACTAAATACTAAGTGTTTCAAATGATGTTTTCAGAACTCTTGATGTGATTACTTACGTACATACATATGTATGTATCTTAAGTTTAAAGATTTCATTAAACTTCAAAGGTTTTTTCAAAGGTAATCTACTGTTTTCACCTCTTTTGCATTATATTGTTTTATAGTACGCATTTTAATGCTCGGCAATTGGTTTGTGGAGCTACTTATGTATGTATGATTGTCATGTGGATCGTGGGTGTAATGTTAAAAGCAACATATTGGTGACGTCATTGAACGGGTCGTGTGGCTCCAATTCTCGTTGCTTACTTTCCCATTTCCACCTTCTGTTTGGTTTTGCAGGTGCAGCAGCAAATAGATTGTATGTAATTGTGTGTATTTGTAGCGGGCGCATGCTAAACTGCATACACCCTATACATACATACACACTTGTATGTGCGATATACTATGTGGTAGCGACCCTGTTTTGGTGGTCATATGTTTGCAGTTGTTTTGTGCTGTGTTGCTTTTGTTGTCCCTGGACCTGGTGTTACGTGACGGTCGGAAAGTCAGCAGACTGCCGCCGATGCGCCGGTTGTTCTCGTTGCAAGCACACGTCCACCCAAAACAAGTGACGTTTATGCGGTGCTATTATCGAGATATCAAATAGCTGATTTTAAAAAAAATTATCATAATCATAATAATTATTACTTTAAAAGTAAAGGTAATATTTCGAATCAAAGCACATCAAATGCCACTGCTGGCTTGCTAAAGGAACACCCCAGAAGCAGAACGTTCTAGCCCAAATGTTCCATTATCTTTGTAAACGGCTTACGTTCAATTTATCTTGAGTTCACCTCCGCATAATCCGCCCTGGAAACTTCCCGGCCGCTCACATGTTTTGGTTTTCTGTCTGTATTTTCGAGTTTTTGCCTCCGCAGAGTGCAGTGCACTCCGCTCGCCGCATTCGAAACGGTAAAGTGGGGGGCCTCCGACTTTTTCTTTTTGTTATTTTGTACGTAAAATGTTGCACTTCTTGGTGTGGGGAGACCAGTGCCTGCAAAACCATCGGGCCTTTATGAAAGCATTGATCTTGATGGACAGTAAAAACTATTAAAACGAAGCCAGATAATAGGGAATTAGTGGTGGGCCGATAATTCCCTTTAATTTTCGCCGGCCACTGATATATCCATTCCGAATTACTCCCTCCCCTTATTAATTTTTCGGTAGTTTCTTTTTTGTTTTCGTTCCGATGCAATGTTTTTTTTTTTGGGTCCAAGTCCACTGGCGCTTATTTGATCAAGACTATTATACAATCATACACATACACATACACATATACACATATGTATGTTTGTAACTATGGTGTGCCTGGGTGTCCACAGTGGAGGTACCAGAAATAGTGATCCACTGGAAAGAATGATCAGCATTTTATGTATATCATAAAAAATGAAAATGAATTAGTTTTAGATACCATAAAATGGTGGGAAAATGCAATTGGCTTGAGAATAGTCAGTAGCTGAAAGCGGTCTTATGTTTTTTTTTGCTTGTAATAAATGTTGTAATGATCCTATTATATTTACCGCACACGTATGGGTGTAAACATGCGTTTTGCTGTGGGGTAATGAAGTAGAACAGCAACGGGAAAACAGAAACATGTGTGTGTGTGTGCGTAGAGGGCACTTTTGGGCGAAGTGGGGCGCGAGGGGTGAAGGGTGTCTTGGGGCATATTGTATTGGATTGACAGTTTGTCACACGCAGCGACCTAAATACGCACACTGTGATATTTTCATTTTGAGTTTTGGCTTTTGTTTTTGGACCTTTCCTTTACGTTATCAATGGAAAACTGTAATGCCCGTGTGTGTGTGTGTGTGTAATCCCATGTTTATATAATGCATTTTCCTTTGGGCTTCCATTTGAAAATGAACAAAATTTAAGCGAGGTTTGACATTCACTGGGTCTTGAGTTGGTTTGTTTTTGCCTCTTCTTTTGCTCCTGCTTCCTCTTCATTTTCTTCTTCAACCGGCTTACATGGTCTGCCTGTGTGTTTGTGCGTGCGTACAGCAGTGGTCGCAAGACTAGAAACTACAGTAATCTCTTTAAGCTGATTTTAAACATTACGCAGCTATTATTTTGAAAGTAAAGAAAGACATGTGTATGTATGATTTTGTGAATATTTGAAAATTGTAACAACTATTGTCTTGGCTTCCATAGTGTGTAACAATGCTTGTGGTAACAGTTCCAAGTAGCAGCTGTTCTCCCCGCTCCCTTCTTATGCTCACCTCTCCGCTCCCTGCTCAACACTACACTCACACAAAAACACGTACTCCCGCTCACACACACACACACTGAAAGACCGCTCTGCTTTTACAGGCATCGACGTCGACTTCTTTTCTTTGCGCAGCGATGGTTTTCAAAACGAATTCGAACGCTTAAGCGAACGGTTGTGTTTACTCCCAAGCAAAGAAATCAGAAAAAAAAAGCTGAAAACTGAAAACCCAGATAAATCGAAATACAAATTAGCGGACTCAAAAACAAAGTGTAACAACACAAAGCGGAAACATTTAAGAAAACATTTTTTTGTGGTGCATCTTGGTAAAAAACCGGTTGTTAAATGCGCGTTGCAGTCGAAATAATAACAAGAGTTAAACAACAAACACCCTGAAAAAAAGGCAACGTTGCACATTTTCTCGAGTGCAATTCAAACTGTAAGGAAAACAAAGCGAAAATTGAGGGAAAATTCAAGAAAAGCGAGCCCAAAACTTGACCGAAAAACAAAATGGCATTCTCCATCGTGAGCCGTGGTATTTTGCGCACTTCAAGAGAAATTCTGGAACGCAACATGGCCGCAACTGTCGGCGTTCTGCAGCAGAGCGCCTCCCCGCCCCAAAACACGCCCATTTCGCACAGCGATTGTCACGTAAGTGCATCCCTTTTTTGCCCAGTGCATTGAATATATGAGTGTATCTAATTGAATTGAAAGAACCTGAAACTTGGAAGCGAATCGCAGGCTTGAAAGAAGTTAACTTAAAATAGCACCAGAGGGCAGAAGAGAACAGTTAATAGAAAAACAAGCTTAAATGCAACAGTTATAAAACAAAGAGTTTAAAACCAGTTCCACCAAAGATGTTCCACCAAAAATCAGCTTCCGCAAGATATAAGCTCAAAACAAAAAGCTGAGAAATAGAATCGCAATTCGAAAAACAGTAACAGGGAGGGGGAAGGAAAAATGTAAATGGGGAGGAGTGGAGAATAAGAGAAGCAAGGGAAACGGAGAAGAATGAAAATTGGGAGCGGGAATGTTCACGAAACGAGGCCAGTGCTAACTAAACTGTAGCAGTGCATCTGCAACTGTAAGAACTCGAACTCAATTTTAGCAATTCGGGATTGGGATTATAAATTCCCTGATTTTCGATGTTTGAGTTCAATTGATGATTGACTATAAAAATCATTTGGGTGATAGCAAATTTCTTGCAAATCAATCATGAAAGGGCGCAGCACTTTAATCAATCAATAACAAATTAGAAAACCGGCGCCGAAGTAGGCATATCCCTAAATAAAACAGAACAAGATACAGTAAGATAAACAAATGAAACCTACACACAAAAAAAAGTTGCTATTAAATCAATACATTAACTAAATTGTTCTGGTAATATTTAAACATGTTTCATCTTACTCTTATGTTAGTTTTGAAAATACCGGCCACCATTTGCCAACAGAAATTATGTACATAAATGTATCGGTTTCGAAACGAAATTTATGATATTATGTTGATATTATTGACTAAACATACTAAACATACATGTATGTAACCAGCTAAGCCAATATTAATATTCATTGGTATTTTCCACCGTGTATTCAGGTGAAAGCTTGTGTTTTTTTCTTTCTCGCCGACAACAACCCCCTCATTTTGAAAGTCGGAAAACTGCGCAAATTCTGTGGCAGGAAAAACCTGCGCAAATGCATTGGAACTTTTTCTCTTATCGCCCGGAAAAAGAAGTTTTAGAATCACAGGAAATGATTAAAGTTAATTTTTTTTCGCGATTTTTCTACTTCTTGTTTGCTGCTAAATTAACATTGACCTGTTGCTCGACTTTGACTTTTATTTGCCGACTTGTTACTCTCTGCTTCTTCTACATAAATCATTGTCGTTGTTTTTTTGTTAAATTTTCTTATGGTCGAAACGTGTTTCTCGGTTATTTTCGATACGAGCAGACATTTAAATGAAAGGAGGCCCGTTTTTTTTTTGCATTCATTAATTCGTATTTTGGAGAAACTTGTTTACAAAAAGAAAAAAAGAAAAGAAAACCGAAAAAACAAAAACAATCCAAAGTTCGTTTAACCAAACGAAGCAACTGGAACCGAAAACTAAAACAGTCCAATACAATAAGTGTGCGGGCTTTATGATAATGTTATATGGTATGATGTACATATGATATCATCGTCGTCGGTAGCTGGCAACATCTCTACTTGTATTCCTTCTTATCGAGAGCCATTGGAATTCAAAACGTTTACAAGAGACTTTGTTTTCTTGTAATTAAAAATGAGCGAACTTTTTATCTTTTTCCTTTCCCCGAACTGATTTTTGGCATCTTCAACATATATCTTTTCTCCATTTTCAATGTTGCAATGGTGGCAAAGCACTGTTTGTACAAAATTTCTAAAATGCCGTGCAAGATGTGAATTTATATATAATTTTTTTTATATTTATTGAAGATTCTTTGGCTAATGGTTTATATTTCCATCTGTTAATTTTGTAACATACATGAGCGCCACGTGGTTTCATACCATTACGGAGAGCATCTCAAACTGTGAACCGAGTTTTTTGAGATACATTTTGAGAGTCATTCCTTGTCACTTTTATGGCGGCCCAAAGATGGAAAACTGGTAAAAAACAAAACAGATAACGACGAATCGGGCTTAGAATTGTTTTGTGAGTAAACAGAACTGACCTT